TATCCCTCATCCTGCCGAACCTCCTGAGTCACCGCCTCCACTTCCCTGACGGTGCCAAACGATCCCGCTGTCCTTCCTACTCCTGCTCGACGTCTCCATCAGTTTCCGATTCCCATCCACTGCGCCATTCCTGCTAGTCTCGGAGGCCCAACTGTTGCAAGTCTTGGCATCGCGGCCTGAGCATGTCGACTTGAAGGTTTACCCATCGGCCCTGTATCGTAGGTCCCAATCTCCGGATGATGGTGTTTTGTCTTTGAAGCTGAGCCCCTGGAATAAAGCCGCCACCAAAAGGTCCCAATCGGATCGTCGTGAGATCGCGAGGCTTCGAAGATGTCAAAGGGCGGGCCTTGCTTCGAGGTCATTCTCGTGTCAAGGTATTGCAGCCGTTCCCAAAGACGTAAGCTTCAAACGCTTTGAATGTTGAGTACGGCTCGAGGCACGCCCATGCGCTACGCGGGCCCATCATCTCCTCCCCATTGAAATTTGGACCGTCCCTGGTTCATCGCTGCTCTACCTCCATCCTCGTGTATCGCCGCTCCAGCCAAAAGAAGTCTGCGAAGTGCGCCTCGAGGCACGCGAAGTCAGTAGCACGACCGAGACAATAACGCACCGAGTACAACATCGAAGAGCACCAAACAATAGTCAGCGATTAGCAAGCGGTCACGCGGTGCGCACTCAACAATGAGGCGCCTGCAGGAACAATGCAAGGCCGATGGCGCAATGCTTCGGCGAACACCGCGATCGTCCCGATAAAAGGAGTCCGTCGCCCATCCTCGATCCTTGTCGCTTTCATCAGCTTCACCCCACAACTTGTTGAACTGCCTCGCTCAACTCCCTTCCCAAACACTCCCGCCATGTCGTCTACCTCCGCCACCGCTTCCCGTCTTTCCACGCCCGCGATCACCACGAACAAGACAATCAAGCACCTCCTTCGACTCTTGACCGTCAATGTCCAATCCGCCCCCGAGCCTGACTCCTCGAAGGAGGAGGCTAAGGACTCGATTGATGACATCTCCGAGCACCTAGTAAGTCAATACGTGATCACAATTTAAATATTACCGCCTGATGTCTTCCCCTCCTAGACCTCGATCCGCAGCAAAGGCGGCGTACTTCCCAAGGACATGGCCGAAGCGGTCCAGAACGCCGTCTCGAAGGTCAAGGCCATCTTCCCCGACTTGCCGATCCGATTCGGCACCATCATACCCAAATGGACGTGGGCAAAAAATGCCCGCGAGTGCCGCGACCTCGAGGCCAGGATTGTGGCCAAAGAAGCCGAGCTTGCGCGAATCATGGCTGAGGAGGCCAAACTTGCCAGGATCGCGGCTGAAGAGGCCAAGCGCATCCATCAAGCTGCCGAAGAACTGGCGAAGGCCAGCCGCGACCAAGCGACCGGGAGCGGTCTGATAGAAGATGAGCCAATGGTCATCGATGAGGTTACCTTGGGCGACGATGGCGCTGCGTCTCGTGATGACGACGATGAGGAGCCCCAAGACGACAACGAAGCTGACGAGATCGAAGAAGAGTCGGAAGGGGACGAAGGGGCCGACAACGCCGACTCGTTCATCACCAAGGAAGTCGAAGCCCTCAACGGCGATGGCAAGGTCGCCGAATCGTGGCGAGTCGTACGACAACGCGACTGGTCAGGCATCTCGTCCAAAGATATCAAAAAGCACGCAAAGCAGGCGCAAAGGAAAGGACAATGGGTAAGTGGTCCTGCGTTGGTCTCTTGTTCGCAACTGAGCCTATTCTGGGATTTTGTTCATAGTGCGACCGCTGCAAGTTGAACCGGTCGGTTTCGACTTGCGTTCCATCGCGCAAGCAGCCCAATAAGTGCGAGAAGTGCATGCACAACGTACAAGGCTGCTACTTCGATGGGGCCTCAATGCGAGGCTGGTCGAAGTTGTCTCAAACTGCGCGCGACAAAGGGAAAAGTAAGTAATCTCGTATCTTTCGTACCGTCTCTAGTTGACCGATTTATTTGTAGAACGCACCGTGAAGTCGCCTCTAACCTCGCCCCGCGTTGCAAAGCGCGCAAAGTCGTCGGTCAACCCGTCGGCGACTTCGGATCCGTTGTCGCGTGCCGTCTTGACCCATGCGGCACTCGAAGCGGTGCGCCTTGAGCGAGACATCATCGCCATGCGGATCTCGCTCCTTCAGGACATTGACTCAGCTTTAGCCAACCAAGAGCAGCTGTACCTAAATAAATTAAGTGTTAAGAAGGGACTGCCGGTTGCTTCGTTGTCGAAGGGCCCGCGGTCCACATCAAAGGTGCCTAAGTAGTGTTCGGCCGGCCGCGTGTATATTAGTTTACTTTGTGAATTGTAGTATTATTTCCGCAATAAAAATATCGTGATCTCGTTCGATCATCGTGCGTTCAGAAGGAGTGGCAATCGGCTTCGGAAGAGTCTAAGATCCCAATCGCCGCATTAGTACACAAGTTGCGTTAGTAAATCTAAATTTTGTATAGATCGTTGTCACCATTCGAATCGGCAAGTTCTAGCTCTCACAATCGTTCGGTCGAGACGTCGAGGATGTCTTTGGGTATGCTAATTTCCCTTCGGGCGAGGTAAGGCACGACTCGGAAAGCAGCCACCGGTCTGTCTAGTACGGCGCCGTCCAGTTCGCATAGGATGTAAGCGCCTCCCTGGTTTCGTGCAACTACAACCACGGGCCCGAGATATCGTGGCCTCATTTTCTGATTGAGCGCCTTCTCAATAGCTGTGTTTCGAATTAATACCAGCGCTCCCTTCTTGAAATCGAAGTCTCGAATCGTAGCTGCGTGATCGGTCTCGAATCGCTGTGCTGCGGCTCGGCATGCTTCGTACACCTTCGAGTGTAGCTCGGAGACTTGTTTGATGCGTTTCTGTAGTGCGATCGTGCGTTGGGCTATAAGGTCTGTAGTCGAAAGCATTGATGAGGGCGGTGGCTGTATATAGGTTGCTTCGAGGATGTCTAGAGGTATTATCAGGTGGGTCCCAGTGATTGCGAAGTACGGCAAACAGCCCATTTGGCGCCTCGTCGTGATGCGTTCTGACCAGAATACTGAGTAAGCGACCTGCGACCATTTGTTCTGCTCACCATCGGCTGCTTTGTATAAAGCCTGCCTGACATCGAAGTGGGGTTGTTTGACAAGTCCATGTTAAGGGACCTAACGACTGAGGATCAGGAGTTCGACTGTTTAACTGTT